AAGACTGTAGCACTTTACTCTGTTTGTCTTCTAGTGCTTGTTTAGGAATTCCGGGCAGGCTCTTTAATTTTTAGAGACCCAGACTTTGTCTTCGAGTAATTTGTTCTTGAATCAGCCTAATTATCTTCAATCTAGCCGTTGAAAATCAAGAGATTGATTTTTCCTTGCCACGGGTAGAATTTCTTCATTCAGGACTTAGATGATTTTCTAAGCTTTTTCTCACTTGTCCGCTTTCTGAGAATTTCGGTCTTTGGTGAGTCTTCCGATTCTTAGCTGACAAATCCGGATGAGTCTTTTTCAGACTTCCGGGTGAGAAGGAGATCCGCGCTAGTCTTCCTATTTGAATGACTTAGCCTTCAGCGGGTTGTAGCGAGACATCCGGTTCTTATGCAGTCTTCCAGATCTGAGGATTTTTATCTGATTGAGAAATCCTCACTTGTCTCTGACACTTCCGATTTAAGATATCCAATTTTCATATCACTGAAATTGATCAAGTCTTCAGGCATCAAAACGCTTAAAGAAATATCACAGTTTTATTGAAAACTCAAGAACTTGGTTTTAACAATATTTCTAAAAAGAAAAATTACATTGAATATTGGGGGAGACCTAAAGTCCCTATTACATTCTAAAAAAATCATCATCAAAATCTATAATATTTTTTCCAACAATTTCCCCCTTTTTGATGATGACAAACAAGTGTTTAAGAGTTCCGGTCGCTGTACTGAGAACTAATTGTATAACTTTCTTTTAGTTTCTCATAATATACAGCTTGTTAACAAAAACTCTTAAACAAATACAATTCAAATTACAATAATTCCTAAACCAAGTTTTTGTCTTGAGATTTTGTGATTTCTTCCGCCTTGACTTTTTTCAGCTTCAGCAGATTCTGCTTGGCTGAGCAGTTGGCGTTGCGTTTGATAGATCTTTAATATCCAAAGTGGATATTCAAGATCTTGGAAGCAACACATCTCTCAAAAAAATAGAGAGAGTGTTGTTCCAGAGAAGGTGTATGGTCTAATACTGAAAAATACGAGATTTCCACCATAGACCTTCTCTACTGCCGAGATTCTCACCATAGACCTTAAAAGTCTTTTCTTCTCAATAGGCTTCTTCCATTGCCGTCTATGAGGGTAAGAAAGAAAAGTTTCTCCATTGAGCATAATTTTCTTGGTGTATTCCTTAGACAGTGAGTTTGAAGACTTTTCATATTGAGAGAGTTGTTTGTGATGAAAGTGAATTGAGATATCTTGATTTAAATAGGGGAGGAGGAGTTTCACGGGTTCCATTAAGTGGGTAGTTGGAACGGTGAGAGTAAAGGAGTTTCAACTTCCAAGAAGTTGAAAAGTAAAAGGAATCTTTTACCAGTTACCAAGGAATTGAAACTGTTTTAATTAGAAAATCAGTTTCGATTGGTTTGAGAAACGTAACTGTTCTGGTTTGGCTAAGCCCAAAAGAGTGGCCCAAAAAAGAAAAGAAAGCTATGTACTAAAGGGAAATTGCCCAAAATAAGACTATCATTTTTCATTCCCTATAGTTCTAATTTCTACTTAGGACGAGGTAGCACCAAAACAAATATGAATATTTAAAAGAAAAGTGGTACTATTTTTCCAAAGTCCTGTACATTTTTAAACATCCTAGGGACCAGTACTTTTAGAGCTCGTTGGAAATAAATTAAGGACTAAAGCTTAGTTTAAGAAGGCAGATTTTGTAAAGTACTTGAATCGGAGATTTCCAATTTTAGTACCAAAACTGAGATATCCGTCTTCCATTACTTTGAGCTTATCAATAATTCATTGCCAAAAATAATTGTTAGCCAAAACTAGGTAAGTTCCCCCTGAATTACATTCCCCCTAAATGTATGTGCTTCAGAAAAAATAGTTAAGACAAAATCATACTTGAGATAAGCATAATTAAGCATAATAAGCACAATTAAGGCATACTTAAGCAATGTTTAAACCAATCAAGCAATGTTTAAACAAGAAGGTGTTTTCATCAAAACAAATGTTTTCACATACTTTCCCCCTGGTTTGATGAAAAGAACCTTCAGTTCCTTTTGCGTTTTGAAGATCCGGCAACTTCACTGATGCCCTGCATGTTCCCACACAGTTCTTTGATGCGCCTTAGGTTTTCACGCCTTTCCTCTGTTTGAGCAGCATCTGAGAAGTGGTCAGCCACTGCACCTATAAATTCTGTTCCATCCAGTCCTGAGCTGGATAGGTGCTGTGCTGAGTTTTCCGGATTTCTTTGCTGTGCTTCAAGGATCAGATTAGTCATGTGCAGATGAGAAGGGACATAAGATGCTTCTCCTTCGTTGACTGCAATAGGGAGCTGTGGTATTGGAGATGGACTGTGTTGTTGGAGAATTACTTCCATCTTGCGGTTCCCAGAATGTGCACCAATAAGTCTGAACAGCTTGTATGCTTCCTTTTGATTGTCAATGATCACCTTCAAGTAGTCTTTGGTTACTACTTGATTTGCTGAAGCTATAGCTAGGGCTGATCTGATGTCCATTTGGAGAAGGGACATCTGTTTTTGCAGACCAATTGTGACATTTGCTATTTGCTCCTTGACTTTGTTGAATTCATTGAATTGCAGTTGACTGTCAGAGGTGTATATTTCCATCGTATTGCTCACAGTTTTACTCAATAGAGAGATGATCTCTAGAGTCTTTTCTACTGATTTACTTATCTCCTTGAGATCAGCGCTGTGTTTCT